TAAAAATTTGTCAAATATCACATTAATCATAACAGTTAAGGTATATTTTTCATTTAATTTAATTTTTATGACTGCAGGTAAAGGTCGACTTGATTGAACTCTCTGAAAAATGCTGTAGTGACTTTGACTTGCACTCAGAATTAGAGCGTTCATTTTTGTCAGAACCATCATCTCCAGGGAGAACCAAGACCACTAAAGGATTCAAACTTGGGAAGCACAAGCATGAGACCTTTATAACTTCAAGGTAAAATTTATTCTACTGAAGATCTTGATTGTGGTCATGTAAGCTTATTTATTTTAATGTATTTTAAGATAGACATAACTATTAAAGGACGAAAGAAGTTAACATAATACTTGATTCATGAATATTACATTGTTTGGCCAAGACATACCCAGTACACTTGTTTATTATTCTGCTTTATAAGAGTTTGGAAGGTGTGAACAAGGGTGAACTGAATTATTTTAAATAATTCCTAGTCATATCAGTAAAACATGAGTACCATTCTTAGCTAGTTTTATTTTATTTCATTGGAAAGTACAGGTATACCTTGGTTCAGTTCCAGACTACTGCAATAAAGTAAATATAATAAAGTGAGTTACATGAAATTTTTGGTTTCTTTGTGTACATAAAGGTTATGTTTATACTACACTATAATCTATTAAGGATGTAATACCATTATGTCTAAAATCCAATGTACATACCTTAATTAAGAAATACTTGATCGTTCAATGACGCTAATTATTATCTGAGCCTTTAGTGAGTCTTTTAATCTTTTTGCTGCTGTAGAATTTTGCTTTCAATTTGGAAAAAATGGAGTACCTCTCAAGTTCAGTAAAGTAAAGCACATTAAAGCAAGGTTTGCCTGTTAACCTGTAAAATTTATCACTGTTAGAATAAGAAATAATTAAAACATAGTTTCCAGTATTGCAAAGAGTAACTTACATTTTCATTGGAAATATGAAAAAAAGAAAATATTTTCATGGAGTATTTTTGTTTTAATAGTGGAAAATCTGAATACATTGAACCTGCCAAACGAGCTCATGTTGTGCCACCACCAAGAGGAAGGGGCAGGGGAGGATTTGGACAGGGTATACGACCCCATGATATTTTCCGTCAGAGAAAACAGAACACAAGCAGACCACCGTCTATGCATGTGGATGACTTTGTTGCAGCTGAAAGTAAAGAAGTGGTCCCTCAAGATGGAATACCCCCACCCAAACGGCCACTCAAAGTATCACAGAAGATTTCTTCTCGTGGTGGATTTTCAGGCAATCGAGGAGGACGGGGTGCTTTTCACAGTCAAAATAGATTTTTCACACCGCCTGCCTCAAAAGGTAACTACTTATATATATATTCTAGTGGGTTAAAACAGCAATTTTCAATCAGTGTGCCACAAGAATTTTTAAAACATGCAATACTTGACTATTTAGTCAGGAGCACTGACCTCTTTTTCCTTAGATTGTCAAATAAAAAGATGACAACAGCCAACACAACAATAGCTGTCTGGTGTGAATGAATCAAAATTATACTTAATTTTTTGGTCAGATTGGCAAATAATACAGTATATTTTTTGGTGTGTTGCAGAATTTTAGTAATTAGTTTATATGTGCCATGAGGTGAAAAAGGTTGAAAATTGCTGCGTATAATTTTGTCAACCAGTGTCACCCTCCAATAAATTCAATTAAAAGGAAAAAAAAAGAATATTGGAATATTAGAATATTGAATAGAAGTGATTTAGATGGTAGTGATTCAGATAAAGTGTTTTTCTTTTTAAGATTTTATTTATTTATTTTTAGAGAGAGGGGAAGGGAAGAGAGAGGGAGGGAGAGAAACATCATGTGAGAGAGATACGTCAATTATTTGCCTCTTGCATGCTCCCAACTGGGTACCTGGCCTACAATTCAAGTATGTGCCCTGATGGGGAATCGAAACAGTGACCTTTCGGTTTACAGGCCTGGACTCACTGAGCCACACCAGCTAGGGCAGATAAAGTATTTTTTTGTTACTACAGTTAAGCTGCCTCTAGACCAGTGATGCTATTTGCAGAGTACTTAATTGAATAGAAAAAAATCTTTTTTAGGTTAACTTTTGCTTAATTGCATATTTAGTGATGAGTTTAAGTCTTGGCTAATTATTTTGCTTTTTGCATTGAGAATTGTGTTTATCCTTTCTGAATAATATACATTATTTTTCCAGTTCTACTTAGCAAAAATTTCTTAAGATTGCTCTTTATGTTCACCATTGATTCTTTTATCTGCTTGATTCCTACTGTTATATTTAATCTGTTTTAAATTGTTTCAAGATTTTAGAAACTGAGTTTATTTGTAAAAATTATACTTTGCTAGTGTTTTACTGCTGCTGAGTGAGGAGGGTGTGAGTGAAAGAGAATAGGAGTTTAAATTAATAGTAAACATACAACTATGCTAGGAACTGTTATAAGCACTTGACACATGATATTCTGACATCAACTCCATGAGGTAGGTTCTGTTAATACACGCTCTTTATGGGAGAGAAGACTGTAAGCTGACCAGGAACTGTAAGTAATAGTGATAGAACCACTATATGAACCCTGGCAATCTGGCTCCATCCTAAAAATGAATGGTGCTGCCACTGTACAGTATGTTTCATTTACAAAAATTTCAGTTTATCTTTCATTACTTTTAAAGATTAAGGAAAACTTGTCAGATCTTCTTTAATCTAACTGAAGTTGTGAAAAAAAGATTTTGATTGTGTTGTCTTTAGGAAACTACAGTCGCCGTGAGGGAACAAGAGGCTCCAGTTGGAGTGCTCAGAATACTCCTCGAGGGAATTACAATGAAAGTCGCGGAGGCCAAAGCAATTTTAACAGAGGCCCTCTTCCACCATTACGACCACTTAGTTCTACAGGTATACATTCTTCCTACTTGTTATTGCTGAGAGAGGAAGATGAATCCTTATTTTCAAATGGTTGAATGTCATGTACTCTGATTCTGGGAGAGAATATTTAAGAATATAGATATGTAATTCTAAAGTGAATTTAACTTTATATCTAAATGAGTGCCCGATGTAGATTTTCTATAGAAATAATCAGAATTTCAGTTTCTGAGCTTTGTGTATAATCTTAAGTTTCATTGGTTATGTGCTCTGTTTTTATATTTCAACAATAAAAGCCAATCCCTAAGGCACATTTTTGACCAAAGTATTTCAATAACAGAGGTATCCTCACAGGATGTATTATTCTATTTTTGATTACAGTATTATCTTGTGTACATAAACATATAACCCTTAACAGCTTTATTTGAGATGGTATTCACAACTGAAACAATTTACCTTTTGAAAGAGGACAATTCATTGGTCTTTAACACATTTACAGAACCTGTACATGGACTTTAAAAGAGGAAAGAGTAATTTCTGTCTTGGTTTGAGCCCAGTGTTATAGATTCATATAATGGGAGAGGATGTTGTAACTAAATACTGTATTTTTTTCTTTTATAGGCTACCGCCCAAGTCCTCGTGACCGTGCCTCAAGAGGTCGTGGGGGACTTGGACCTTCCTGGGCAAGTGCAAATAGTGGCAGTGGAGGATCAAGAGGAAAGTTTGTTAGTGGAGGCAGTGGTAGAGGTCGTCATGTACGGTCCTTTACACGATAAAAATTCTTTCGGGAACATTCTAAGTGTATATGAACATTTCGTGACAACAGTAAAAGTAAAAAAAGACATTGAAGGACCAATTTAGACTTAGCAGTTATCTGGAGACATCTGAGAGAATATTTTTATCTGAAGAAAGCAGATTTTGTTTGATACCTAACACAAAATTTCAATAAAAATCCAAACTTTGTATGTATGTTTTTATATATTTTTTCTCGTTCTTAAAAGACTATTTAGAAAATTTCTTAGGTAGTAAATGAATGATGTAATGACTTTTGTCTTAGTGTATATCTTGCCTACACCACAGATGTTCTTGGTACTTTCTCAGCTCATGGTGCCCTTTAGTGTTTCAGTAATTTTTTTTCCACAGGACATCTAGGACAAAAGAAAATGCATTATACTTCCATTTATTGAATAGTCCAGTGCAAACAACTTAGTAAGAATTAACATCATAAGCACTAGTAACTGTGGACACTGCACAACTTCTCAAACCTTGGAATCAGCTTGGGTTGACATTGCCACTATCATTTCCTGTTCCAGTATGCTTTTGCACAGTACTTTTTATCACAACTGCTGAAAACCCAGTTTTGCAAAGATACACTGCCATGAAAGGAAATATAGTGCTACCTAATTTTGGAAATGTAAACTACCTCAAACTAGTAGTTTGTGTAATGTTCAACAGGTGTGTTCCCCTCAAAAATTTAAAATAAACTGTGGCACTTATGTTAATTTACTGGGGTGCCTTGGTACATAGTTTTGGGAACCTTCTTGGCTATAACAAAGGAAACAAAAACATTTTTCTCCTGTATGTTAGAAATGTGTATGTACTTTGTGTTTCAGCTTTATACCTACATATGCTATTTTATCACGCAGTTATTGAAAGCCTAAAATGAGGCGTATTCTAATAGTTATTTTGGGAAACCGAAGTATCTAATAAACTGGGCTTTATATACAGAAATACAGTTTATAACAGAAAATAGCCGTATTTTTCCCAAAAGATAACACACTGAGCCTATATAACTGACATAAAATACAGAACTTTCTTAAACAACAAAGGAGTGTGTGAGTCTCATTTGATTCCTTTATCATCCCGTTTTGCTGAACTATTTGTGAGTAAACAAAAGTTCGGCTCTGAAGATTCTGGTGTTGAAGTGAAAAGTAAAGGAAATCTGTAACTAATGGCCTCAAAAAACCTAAGATGACCTGAACTACTTTCAATTCTCAAGCCTAGTAAGCTCATCTCTAAAGATGCATTTTTCATATTAGATAGAATTTGTAGTTTGTCCCTAATACATCACACAAACATGGAAAAAAAGTTGTTTCATAAGTATACATTTGTTAAATAACATGGCTACATACAGGTATGTTTTTTTTTTTTCCTGGAGCACTTCATGAATTTGCATGTCAGCCTTGTGCAGGGGCCATGGTAATACTCTGACGTTGCAATTTTTGTGTATGTGCTGCAGAAGTGAGCACTATAGGTATGTTTCTTGATTTATTTTTAAGGTTTTAATTTGGTTTTTTAGAGGGGAAGGGAGAGAAACATCTATTGGTTGCCTCTCTCATGCCTTCAACTGGGGATCTAGTCCTCAACCCAGTCGTGTGTTCTGACTGGGAATTGAACTGGTGACCGTTTGGTTCATAAGCCAGCGCTTAATCCACTGAACCATACCAGCCAGGGCTTGATTTGTTTTTTTGTTTGTTTTTAAATACATAATCTTTATTATATTTTTTTCCATTACCATTTAGTCCCCAATTTGTTTTTTAGCTTTAAGTTTGATACTGTCTTTTAAGAAACACTTAAGTTGTTTATGCTATTTGACTGTTAGTGTAACACTCAGGAATTCAGACCAGCCAAAGTACGGAATTACTACAGTAAAAGCAAATTAATACCAGGCAAATTAAAAATGTCCTGATTAAGAATCTTAGATACATGTGAAGGGAAGGAATTCAACATATAGACTATCCCTTTCGTGCATCTATTAGTCATCTTAACAGTCCAGCAAAGGAGGTATTACCCTAATTTTACATATGTAGAAAGCTGAGGAGCTTAACTCGAAAGTGATAGAGGATTTAAAATGTTGGCTACCCCAGCCAGTTGGTTGGGTGTCATCCCACAGACCAAAAGGTCACGGGTTTGGTCCCTGGTTGGCGTACATGTGGAAGGCGCCAGTTGGTGCTTCTCTCATTGATTTTTCTTTCCCTCTCTCCCTCCCATTGCCTTGCTCTAAAATCAAAAATGAAAATAAATTTAAAAAATGTTGGCTAGATTATAATTAAAAGAATTTTTAAAAAATTCTAGAGAGAGGGGAAGGGAGGGAGAAAGAAGAGAAACTGATCACTTGCCCTGACTGGCATCCTGCAAGCCAGGCATGTGCCCTGACTGGAAATCAAACTGATGACATTTCTATCTGGAGGGTGATGCCCAATCAGCTAAGCTACACTGTCCAGGGCATAGCTTCTAATTTGTTTTTAAATAATTTTTTACATTTCAGTAATATTGTGCAATACTACATGTTTCAGGTGTACAACCCAGTGATTAGACAATTATATAAACCACAAAGTGATCACCTCAATAAATCTATTGGGTTCACCAAAAGGTCCATTTAGTTTTTTTCGATAAAAGACACATTTTTCATTTTCACCAATAACTTCATTGATTTGGATATTTTGAGTATGTCAGTTATCTCCTGTGTGGTATAATGATTGTTCACACTTAATGTCTCGATTTGATCACTATTAACTTTGACTGGTCTATCTGTGGAGCATTGTCCAGAGAGAAATCTCCAGCACAAAACTTAGCAAAACACTTTGACACATTCTATTAGTCACAGCACCTTCTCCATACAATGCACATTTTTTTTTTTGCATTTCAGTTGCGTTTTTACCTTGAAATAATAAAGCATAATATGCTGAAAATACTGCGTATTTTCTTCCATCTTCAATATTAAAATGGATACACAAAAATTCACCAGTTTTGATTTTTTTTTTTAAATGTATGCTGATATGACAGCTGTCACAATACAATCTAACAAAACTTTTCAAGTAAAGTTAAAGACAACCAAGCTCTACTAGAGCCATCTTTTGGAAAAATCCAAATGAAATTTTTGGCCAACCCAGTAGTACCCATCTGACACTATACATAGTTATTACAATATTATTGACTATATTTCCTATGCTATTTTACATCCCCATGATTATTTTGAAACCTCCAATTTACTTTTTAATCCCTTCACCTTTTTTACTCAACCCTCCAATCCATCTGGCAACTGTCAAAATGTTTTCTGTATCTATTGAGTCTCAGTTCTGCCTGTTCATACTATTTTTTAGATTTCATTTAAGAGAATCATGACATTTGCCCTCTGACTTATTTCACTCAGCACAACACACAGTAGGTCTACCCATGCTGTTACAGATCGCAAGATTTTACTTTAATGGCTATCATATTCCATTGTATATGTATGTGCACCACTTACCCATTTATCTATTAGTGAACTCTTAGTTGTTTTATTGTCTTGGCTAGTGTAAATAATCCTGCAATGAATAGTATTTTGGGTGTCTTTGGATAAATACCCAGAAGTGCAGTTGCTGGGCCCTTCTTTGTTTCTTATTATAACCTTTGTTTTTGTTTTAAAGATTTTTATTTATTTTTAGAGAGGGGGGAGGGAGGGAGAAAAAGGGAGAGAAACATCTATCGGTTGCCTCTCATATGCATCCTGACCAGATTCGGAACCCACAACCAGGGCATGTGCCCTGACCAAAAATCGAACTGGTGGCATTTTGCTCTGTAGGATGATGCCCAACTGAGCCACACCAGTCAGGACTAACCTTTGTTTTAAAGTCTATTTTTGGTATAAATATTGCTACCCCAGCTTTTTTTTTTTTCTTTTTTCATTTCCATTTTCTTTAAATATCTTTTTCTATCTCTTTACTTTCAGTTTGTGTCTTTGGATCTGTAGTGAGTCTCTTGTACACAGCATATATAAGGGTCTTGTTTTGCTATCCCTTCAGCCACCCTATGTCTTTTGATTGGAACATTTAACCTATTTGAATTTAAAGTAATTGTTGATAGGTATGTACTTATGGCCATTTAATTCATACTTTTTTTTATCTTCAAGAAGGCCCTTTAATATTTCTTATAATACTACTGGTTTGGTGGTGATGAATTCCTTTAGCTTTGTCTTGTCTGGAAAACTCTTATCTGTCCTTTGACTCTAAATGATAGCCTTGCTGGACATAGTAATCTTGGTTGTAGGTCCTTGTTTTCATCTCTTTGAATAATTCATGCTGGCCCCTTCTAGCCTGCAAAGTTTCTATTGAGAAATTAGCTGACAGTTTTAGGGAACTGGGAACCTCGCCCACAACCCAGACTTGTGCCCTGACTGGGAATTGAACTGGCAACTCTTTGAATCACAGGCTGGTGCTCAACCCACTGAGCTACACTAGCCAGAGCCTGTCATAATTTTTTCAAATAGGTTTTCAATTCCTTGCTTGCTCTTCCAGTGTCTACATGATACACATATTGGTATTCTTGAAGTTGTCCCAGAGACTCCTTATTTTTATATTATTGGATTCTTTCCTCTTTTTTGGTGTTCTGAGTGGGTATTTTCTGCTTCCTTATCTTCCAAATCACTGATTTGATCCTCTGCTTCATCAATTCTACTGTTTATTCACTGTAGTGTATTTTTCATTTGTTACTATATTTTCATTTGACTTACTCTTTTTTGTTTTCTATCTCCATTTTTGTTTCCTGTCTCTTTGTTGAAGTTTTCATTAAGTTCATCTACTTTTCCCCTAAGTTCATTGAGTATCCTTTTTGCTTTATTTATTGATTTTAGAGAAAGAGAGGAAGGGAGAAAGAAACATCAATTTTGTTGTTCCATTTATTTATGCATTCACTGGTTGCTTCTTGTATGTACCCTGACGGGGGATCAAACCTGCAACCTTGCTGTATCAGGAACACTCTAACCAACTGAGCTACCCACCTGGGGTCGTTAAATATTCTTATAACTAGTGTTTTGAGCCCTGGCCTGTGTGGCTTAGTGCATTGAGTGTGGTGTGTGAACCAAAGGGTCATGGGTTCGATTCTCAGTTAAGGTACATACCTGGGTTTCCAGCCAGGTCCCCAGTTAGGGGGCTCATGAGAGGCAACCACACATTAATGTTTTTCTCCCTTTCTTACATTGATATTTCTCTCCCCTTCTCTCTAAAAAAAAGTAATTCAAAAAAAATTATTTTAAACTAGTGTTTTGATCACTGCATCTGGTACATTGCTTGTCTCCATTTTGTTTAGTTCTTTTTTCTGGAGTATTGTTCTGTTCTTTCATTTGGGACATGTGTCTTGGTCTCCCCATTTTGGCTGCCTCTCTGTGTTGGTTTCTGTGTATTAGATAGAGCGGCTACATCTCTTGATCTTGGTAGAGTGACCTTATATAGTAAGTGTCCTGCAGGGCCCAGTGGTGCAGCCTCCTTGGTCACTGGAGCTCAGTGCTCCAGGTACATTTCTTGTGGGTTGTGTGCACCCTCCTGTTGTAGTTGAGCCTTATTGCTATTGTCACGTCAATGGGAGGGATTTACCCCAGCCCAATTGTCTGTGAGGACTAGCTAAGACCACAGCAGAGGGTCATCTCGCAGGGCCCAGTCCCACAAAGCTGGGCTAACTTCAGCGGGGCTCTGGTGCCCCTGCTGAGGTCATCCCTTGAGTGTGTCACTTGCTCATAGAGGTGGTTGGGTGGTGCTCTGGTGTGGTCTAAGCTGTTTACCAGGAAGGCTGGCCCTGGGGCCTCTTGGACAGTACACACCAACGTCAGCCTCTGCCTGTGCTCTGCCTGGGGCCACCAGGCCTGAGCTACAAAGCCATCTGCAGATAGCTGCTATTTGTTCTGGGCTTGGAGGTGCTTGGGAGAGACCATACTCTGAACTAAGACCTACTGCCACTAGAACTGGGTCTGGGGCCACATAGCTAGAAGTTCTGGGTGAGCCAAGACAGTCCATTTGTGTGCAAAAGTCCTGGGTTGGGGGCTCCGTCTCAGGAAATCACCAGGGTGCAGAGAATAGTATTAGCCAGATATAGCACCAGCTTGCTGGCTCTTTCGGGGAAAGGCTGAGCGATGGAACAATGGCCTCTGCCAGTAGTCCTGTCTGGGAAAAAGCCCCTTTAGCCCTGGATAATTCAATTGCTCCCCATATGTTATGATGCTTTTTGAGCTGCTGCCCCAGCACTGGATCTCTGAAAGAGTGAATCTGAGTAAGTCCTTGCACAGGCCCTTTAAGAGGATCACCTGGGACTCCAGAAGCCCTCTGTCTCACTCAGCCACAATCTTTGCTAATTTCCATAGCCAGGCTTTCTTGGCACTGAAACCCTGGACTGGGGGCCTGGTGTGGGGTTGGGATCCCTTGCTGCTCAGGTGGGAACCTCCACAGATGAGCTGCTCCCTCTGATTTATAACTGCCACATGTGGGTGTGGGACTAGTCT